ACATAATAACAAACTCAAGTGGTTCATATTTTACCGATATTGCTCAATGGATCTGTAGTTGTTCCGCGTTCTTTAAAAATTAGTTCCTATTATGTAAACATTTAGTATGACAAACCATGAACACACCTGATGGAAAAAGGTGACATTTGCTCAGAGATGGGTTTGAACGTCATACAACACCTCCATTCCTTATTCTAAAAAACCCTGAAATTAGCTACGCTATATTACTGAGTGTTCAAGTCATTACACAAGCCCATGACGTTGAAGCAGCTGCTGTTAGTTCACCAGATAGTTATGATATTAATATAGATGAGGATCCAAATGAAGCCCATGATGTTGAAGCAGCTGCTAATAGTTCACCAGATGGTTATGATATTAATATAGATGAGGATTTATGACGTTGAAGCAGCTGCTAATAGTTTACCAGATAGTTATGAAATTAATATAGATGAGGATCCAAATGAAGAAGCTCATGCCTATGTTGAATCAAATTAGGAATTGTTCACACAGATATTCGAGCGAATCTGTTCAGAAAGATCTGCAAATAACTGGCTACATGTTAGAACCATGATGAATTGGAGCCGTCTAGTACAAATGGAGGAAGATATTTAAGCTACGCAACGGCGAAAGCGAAGACAGGCAACTTGGAAACCGGAGAATAATAGAAAACCATACCTTATGTATTTACCCTATCCTGAAGAGCCAAGAACAGAAACTATGACAAACAATAGAGACATAAGCATAATAAATGATGAAGAAAAGTAAAAGAATAGCAAGGTCAGATAAGGTAAAAATGGTTATAAGCATAATGATAAGAAAGAGTAAGTAAAAGAATAGCAAGGTCGTATAAGGTAAAAATGGTTATAAGCTTTTCGTACCTTTAAAATTTAAAAATCTTAGCAACTTCTATATAATCGATTCATTCATACCAATAATTTCTGCTATAATCTAATTGCATCTTTTCGAAAGTTTGTAAAAATATTAGATTTGAAAATAAATTATTAAAATATTTAAATTAAAGCAAAAAATAAAGCAAATATAAATCTTTCCAGTTTAGTAAATCAATGTGAAAGCTAGTTTTATAAATTAGGATCTTTGACTTTGACGAAAACTTTTTACTGTTCGATTATCGGTATCACAATTTGGCTATACTATCTAGTGTCTATCACCTGATTCATGGAAATTATTTAGCTGCGGCTGTGGCTATATCGATCATTTACGTCACTGGCACTTTGGAGGGGCTGCTCTGTCTAAATTATTATTATCATTGTGAACAGATATTGCAGGTAATTGTGAACATCATCAATTTGGAGTGCTTGATTGTGCCCTTTCAATACGTTTTAGTCTTTCTTTGAGAAGAGAAAGTTGGGATTTCAAAGATTTATTTTCTATAATAAAGTAAATATTTTTAGCTATATTTATATTATTAATATAAAATATAATAATTAAGGTATTGTAATATATAAATAATAATCAAGGTAAATATTTTTTCTGATATTCATATTGTCAATATATATAAAATGATAAATAAATATTTTTGCTAATATTCGTATTATAAATATATAAAATAACAATAAAATATTAATTAGTTTACCTTCTTCTAATATATTTACTTTCGTACGTTTATGACTCCTTTTATCCGAACTATTATAGTTATACGAATTCGATCGAGAGCAATTGGCACATGAGTAAGAATGTTGGGTACGAGTATAAGAATGTTAGGTATGAGTAGAGATTGTACGCGTAGGAAAAATCGCTACCCGGGTTATCCGACAGATAAATCTATAGGTTACTCAGGTAATCGGTATATATATTTGGGTATAAAATTTTATCCGATATACCCAGGTGATCAACAGATATATTTAATAAAATTTTACCCAGGTATATACTACTTCACAATTTCATTATGTATAGCTTTACTAAAGATCTTGTC